CTTGCTTTTGCCACAGTCTTTCTATTTCTATTTGTAGGTCTTTGTATTTTGTTATCTTTTCCAGTTCTTTCTCTTCTATTCTGCTATCTCCAGGCACTGCCACGTCCACTATCCAGACTTTTTTGTCTTTCTTATCGACAATTGTTAAGTCTGGGGTGTTATGTTGCAGGTGCTTGTCTGTTTGAATTCTGAAGTCCCAGAGCAGTTTATTTTATCATTTTCTATGACTTTCTCTATTTTATGATCCCACCAGTTTTTGCTTACAGGCAAATGATATTTTTTGCAGATCTTCCAATGCACCATTGTTGCTACTTTGTCATGCCGCTGCTTGTAGTCAGTTTGTGCAATCTTCTTGCAACAGCTTACCAGATGGTCCACTGTTTTTCAGCTTCTTTGCATAGGCGGCACTTACTGTCTGTTGCTGTCTTCTCAATTTTGACTTTGTATGCATTTGTCCTTAAGGCTTGGTCTTGTGCAGCCAGAATTAGTCCCTCGGTCTCTTTCTTCAATTTTCCTGCTCTTAGCCATTGCCAGGTTTTATTATTATCTGCTTTCCCAGCTATTTTTTTCATGTATTGGCCATGTAGTGCTTTGTCTTCCCATGCCTCTATTCTGTTCTTCATTTGGTCTTTCTTGTAGGCCAGTTTGGTCTCTCCAGTAGTCAGTAAGCCTTCCTGATATACTAATTTCAGTGCATCTTCATCATTGTTCTTCAGATATTCTTCCAAAGCCATTTTTTCTTCTTCAACCATCTGATGTACTTGTAGCATTCCACGCCCACCTATTTGCCTTGGTAGATAAAGTCTGTCAATGTCACTGCGTGGATGAAGGGCATGATTCATTGTCATTATTTTTCTGGTCTTCCTATCCATTGCTTTTAGTTCTGCTTGAGTCCAGTCCACTATTCCAGCTGTGTACCTAATGACTGGGATTGCCCAGGTGTTGATTGCCTTTATGGTATTTCCTCCATTGAGTTTGGACTTTAAGATCTTCTTCACTCTCTTGATGTATTCACCTCTAATCTTTTTCTTGACTTCAGTGTGCTTGATGTTGTCAGCTTGAAGGATACCCAAGTATTTGTAGTACTCTTCCTCATCCAGACTCTTAATGTTATTTTCGTGGGGCATCTTGATTCCCTCAGTTTTCATTATTTTTCCTTGTTTGATAGTAAGTGTGGCACATTTGTCCAAGCCAAACTCCATTACAATATCTTGGATATATATACGGACAGTGTTGAGCAGCGATTCTATTTCAGATGATGTTTTTCCATACAGCTTCAGATCATATTATTATTATTATTATTATTATTATTATTATTATTACTATTATAGCAAAAACAGAGAAAGAGAAAAAGAATGCATACACATACAATACATATATAAATGATTATAAAAGAGAAAAGCATTTTTTTAAAACAAGAGGCAAAACAAATTGATAGATAAAAAGATGGTTAAAAAGGGGCTTTCTGGAGCTCCCCTCTCTTTCCTCCTCCCTTCCTTAAGCAATTCTTGTTATTTTTTTGGCATGTTTCTTGAATTCAAATCTGTCATGTTGGCATATACGATTAGATCTTTCTTACTATAATTCTATTATTCTGAAGGAAATATGTATGTTATTCAGTAACATTGCATGTACTGGAAATTAGAAACCGGTGTTAATTGTAAAGGAATGTGATTTCTGCTTGCATTTTTATTCTGTATCCTTGTAACTCCTGCTCCTATTTCACATTGTCGAGTTTTCAGTTTGACAATTTCCTCCTCTTTTTGCTCATCTCCACCTTGTACCCTCCCTTTTCAATGCCTGAAGAATTTTCAGTGTAAATACAATGAAAAGGAGAGTTCAGATTGCAGAAAATGGCTTGGGTACAAAAAGACAGCTCAAGAATTGAGGCATGGTGCAGTGTAGGTAAAAGCCAGCCTATAAAAAAATAAGCGGTGAGTGCAAGGTACACACCCATGGTTACACAAGAGATACCTGCAAGTATTTGTCCAACAGAACCTGTTCTAGACTTTAATCACAGAACACATAAACACAAAGGAGTTTCTATATGGTTTTAGGCATCCAAGGTAACAGTATTGGTGGAGCTTTAGTTATACAATTGTTTTGACCCAGTTATACTAGGCAGTCTGGAGTAGCCTCAGTGCTGTGCCTTTAGTCAAAGCTCTGAAAACTTTCTTATTCAAAGATCAAATGCGTGCATCAACCCACAAAAGAGTGATCTGAGTAATAAACCTAGGGAGATACTCCAAAAAAGAGGGGAAAAAAACAAACCAAAAATCAGTGCTAGAGAGGGAAAGTTTACATTTGAATGTATTTCATTTATATCTGAATGGAATTACAAATGAATTTAATTTTGAGTGCTTCTTCCTCATCTGAAATGTATCATATCCCCACAACTCAGATCTTCTTCGTGCCCCTCCAGTGCTATCTTATATACCATGCAAAATCTGGAAAGAGATTTGATTTGCAATTTCCTCTTGTCAAGCTTTTCAAAGGGGTTCAATATGTTCTTTATGCCACAAAGTACACCGGTAATGGTGAATGGGGGGGGGGGCTTGACCTGTCAAAAATTCAGAAAATACCTAACTTGATTCTGTTGGCCTGTCAAACACATACACGCACACACACACACACACATTTCCTACAAAAGGGGAACATTTATTTATCTCCCTCTTCTGGGCCATCCTGAAGAATGGCACTTAGTGGCATCCAGTCTGGTCCTCTGGTAGAGCCCTGGCCAACTTCAGCCCTAGGGCCACTGCATATGCCCAATGGCATGATTACCCCCATGACCCAGCACTCCCCAGGATCTGCTGCATGCCACTTACCTTCTTTTTCCTCAGGCCCGTGGCCTGTGGGTCGCCCTGAGGTTGTTGTGGGTCGCACAAGGCCTTCATTCTTGAAGTGACTTCGGAGAATGCTCTTCTGCAGACTCTGAAATCCTCACAAAAGCAGGCCCCATTCTCATGCAATTTTCAAAGGCTCTGGCGGCTGCATGTGGGCGCAGTCCTGTTGCATAACTTTCAAAGGATCCAGAAGCCTCATGGAAGCACACCCCATTCTCACGCAGCCTCCAAAAATTGCACAAGGAAATGGTATATTTTCGAGAATAGTTGTTTTTTGGTGTTGAATACTGGTGTGTTACTCAAAACACTGTGGCATGTCATTTTTAACATGTATGTCATTGGTTTGCCCTCACTAACTTACACTGACATTAGTCAGGCTGTCAATGCTTATCTGTATTTTTGTTTTAAACAAATGATATTTCTCATTAAAAAAGGAGAAAAGAATGGCATGTTGGCATGCTGAAATACAAAACGCCTTATTTTTATTTACAGTATCTCTGGACTTCAGAAGAACGTCATAGTTAGATATTTTGGCAGTGGTCACAGTCAGCATGTCATCTATTCCTTCTTTATGGTGTCAGATACCATGATCTATACTGGACACTGTCAAGTTAATATTCAGCAGTAGCAGGAAAGAAAAATTGCTGATAAAGCTGCCAAACCTTCATCCTACTGAAGGACCTTAGAGCATCTTGTCCCCAAAACCCATTTGATCTCAGCTTTCTCCAATCTCATATACTTTTGTGCTCCTACTTTTAGAATACAACTTCAGCAACCTTTTTATAAACGATTTCATTCCATATTCATGAATAGAATTTAAATTTAAGATTGTGTGGACTAATTGGATTTGTGGATCACAGCCATGGACTTACTAGGCAATCATTTCTCATTTGTAAGAATGGCATCTTGCATCTGCACACAGACCAAAGCCTTTTGTACTTATAAATTGATAAATGGAGCCTAAATGAATTATATTTCACCATGTTGACAGTACAACTATTCTACACCTACTCTGTGACTTAAGTAAGATCTTTCTAATTATAGTTATAATTATATTACAAAGGAGTATACTGTTTATGCAAAATTGGGCCTAAACTGTTATTTTCAACACTATTTCTAGTATTTCAATTTTCCATTCCACTCTACATCAGTTGAAATTAACTTGTTTTAACTCATCTTAATCTTAACAATAATAATCTTAATTATGTTGGAGACAAGTGTCAGTAATTTAAATAACGGAAGTGCATTTTTCAGCTGACATACTTCATTATTTAAATAACGGGATTGCTGGGGTTAGAGCTATATGGTGCTTTGGAATATCCACTCTCCTAATGATACTTGGAAACATGCACTAGTATAGGACTTGCAAAACTTTAAAGCAGCTGCAATTTTTCCTGGGATTGTGCTGGAGAATGAATCTGAAGTGTTTCAGTGGACCTACTAAATATGGCAGAACAGCTCAAAAAGAATTTCAAAGGAAAGTTAAGTCTTCAGGAATCTTAATCTTAGGGGGTCATTGGTGCTCTGTGAGCTTGGTGGTTTTCCTGTAGATGTTTCATTACCAAACAAACAACAGCCCACTCAAGGAACCACCAAGACCACCCTCACAAATAGCGATAGGGCAAACCGCTACTGTAGTATATAAACTGAGAGCAAACCCACTTCTTTTAGCACTGATAATGTCACCTAGTTTGGCAATGAAATATCTGCAAGAAAACCACCAAGCTCTACAGAGCATCAAGAACCCCACAGTTCAACCTTGAGCTACAGACAATCTCTTCCATTCTTGGGGGTTCAAGTTGTGTGGCGGTGCGTTCTCTGTCATTGCACAATCCTCTCTAGCCTTGTGGAATTTCAGAGCTTGCTCCTAGAGACCTCCCCCTTTAAAAAGCAAGAATCTTGTCAAATAAATATACCTTCAAGGATCAGGAAGTGATGCTTCAAAGATCTACAGCCTACATAACAAACCATTCTTTCAAGCTTCAAATTAGCAATAGTCATAATTTTTATTACCAAGTTTTTAAAAAATATGACTAGCATATGATTAGTGCCGACTGATTTTTGTAAAATCAAAGTTCATTTAGTCATATATCATACATTAAAGTGGTAAGAAAAATACTGACATTTGAGATTTTATACATGTTCATGTAAAAATTATGTTGCATAAAGTTTTTAATTAGAAAATGTGTAAGTCGGAACAGTACATGACAAAATCCTACACAACACACTTATGGAAGAACAAAGATTTCACAGTTTAGCTTGACTTCATCTGGAGCTGAAAAAGCAACTCCCAAAAAGTGTATCATTGTAGCCACATTTTGCTTTTGTTCAGATAAGGTGCACTTAAGAGGCTAATCTGATTCCAAACTACAGGGGAAGAGGCTTAAAATTTTCATCTTTCTTAAAGGATTAAAAGATCTAAAGAGAGTTTTGATTCTCTGATGAAACAATACAATTATTCACTATTACGTATAATAGAGAAGCTTTAATAAAAAGCTGAATGTGATGCATATATAAAATATCTAGGAGAAAACCAGGGCGCTTTGCAGACCAAATATCTTACCCTTTTTGGTGTGTGTGTGTGTGTTAAAAGTTGCACGCAGGTCAACCCCCTAGGTATCTCTCTCTAGTCCAATGATCTGCATCTTTAAGATGTGTGGACTTCAACTCCCAGAATTCCCCAGCCAGTTTTAAGTCCACCTATCTTAAAGTTGCTGAGCTTGAAAAACTGCCCCTTCTGCTTCTCCCCGATGCTAGCTGATAAAAAGTTTAGAGGTAGTATGTAGAAGTCTATGTCAGTTATTGTATATTGAAGCTCAGTACTACGACTGAGATCTTTCTCTATAGTTATACATCTCAAGCTAATACGTATATTATGTTTAAACAGCTTGATTTTTTGAAGATTCAGTAAGAACACGGTAGTCATAAATCTCGCTATAGTTCTGTCATCCTGGCAACTGCATTACATTGTAATAATATGTGATGCAGCCTGTCATTTTAGTAGCAAGAAGCACTAGCCTCTCTCCCTCTATAGAGTTCAAAGATTTTGCCAAACTCAAAAAAGAGCTCTGGTTTTCTTAAACATGATGCTGCTTCAAAAACAAGGATGTTTTTACAGGTACACACACATACACATGTGTGTGCATATTTATGTACAATATATATTTACTGTATAACATACACAGTCCTCTGATAATACAAGCTACCTGACTGAGGCTACAATCTTAAGGAATGGAAATTAAGCACAGTACATAATAAACATTTCTTTAACGCTGTAATTGTAAATACAATAGATGCAAAATGATAAAACATAATCAGAATATTTACAGAAATGTCAAAAAACCAGAATCAAGAAGTTAAGCAACACGGAAACCAATAAATTTCCACAATAAATTAACATCCAGTTCTTTCACTAAAGGTTTGGATTCCATGCTTCCATGACAGTTAAAAGTTTAACATCTATAATATAATTCATCAAGCTAATTCACAGTAGTACCAAACATACACACAGTAATTTCTATTGTGGAATAATTTTTCCTGCAATTCTGGATTGTTCCTCAATCACAACTACATAAAGAAAAAAGATATAAAGGTTAAATATAAAATTTCCTTTGCTTAGAGCTTTATATTTTAAAAAAGCCTTTTGTCAAAGGGAAAGAAGTTCAAATTATATTTCCCATGTTCCTGATTATACACTTTGTCTTCTTTAAAGATCTCTTCCACTGTAGAAGATACTTCTAATCGTTAAAAACAAGTCTGTATATAAGATACCTGATTGCCAAATCTATTCTTAGAACTTGCATTTGGAATTAAAAACACCACAAAAAGCATTCACATTATAGATATAATAAAAAAAAAAAACCCAGTCAACTTCTTGGCTTGGTAGCCTTCTGGGCAAATGGTTCTGTAATGGATCTGCTCTTCTTTAAGGAAGTTGTTTGCTCACCTGGGCTGTACTGGTAGTGCTCCAAGCAGCAATGAGCATTCTCAAAATTCTCTTAATTCCATTGAATGACCTAAAGTGGGTTAGGTTAGGTTAATTCTAGTTCTGAATATTAAAAAACAGGTAGGGGTGGGGAGCAAGATAAAAAGAATGGGTCTTGCAGCTGCTCAAAGACACCAGGTCCTGATACCACATTCTGCAACAACCACTAAAGTCAACAGAAAATCCCGTTGCTTTAGTGGAGTTGGGTTATACTGCAATATTTTTGATCACATCATTTTTCACTGAATGGGTAGATAATTGTAAGTGATAGTCCTAAGGCAGGGGTCTTCAAACTTGGCCCTTTTGTGACTTGTGAACTTCAACTCTCAGAATTCCTCAGCCACACACGATGGCTGAGGAATTCTGAGAGTTAAAGTCCACAAGTCATAAAAGGGCCAAGTTTGAAGACCCCTGACCTAAGGGAACAATTTAACTGGCTTTCAGTAAGTTGCCTTATCCAGTAGAAATTTATTCCTCCAGCACAAGGAATAAATCACAATACAAAGATTCATAAATTAAAAACAACCACAATAGTTATACCTCCCAACTAACCATTCCATTAGTAAATCCAAAGTATAGTTGTGTGAATAGTTGCATTAAGATTTATGAAAACCGAAATTATTAGATATGCTATGATAAATCATTCTGTAAATTTTTAATTAATACATATTGGGACACAGGTTAAAATGTTGGTATCTCATATTTAATTACTTTTATTAATATTTTTAGGTTAAAATAAGGCATTCTCTGGGCTGGATCTCATTTGAGTTCAAGATGTGTGCAATGAAATACAAATATGCAGACAGACCCATGATAAGAAACAAAAATGGAAAAAGGACATCACACCTTTATTCTGTCTTAAACATGTAAGATGAGAGCCAGCCCATGTTTCAAAAAAATATTACTCAGCTAATTTCAAAATGGAACAGATGAAGTGAATCACAACTCCATTCTGTTACTATAAAAAGCCACTGAAATATAGTAATTGAGAGGTATGTACTGTATAGGTGCCGCCAAGCAGGTATAGTTTTTGGCCTCTTAATTTGAAAAAGCAACTGAAGCACTTTCACAATGTGATGATTGTCCCATCTTCTTCTAAGGTCTTTTGGTCAGAACCCTGAATTTTAAATTCCACATTAATGTTGCTTGTTGAACAGTACAAGTTGACTTCTCTGGAAGAAATGAAGCCATTCTGCATTGGCTCATGGTGGGTCTCAGTTTGTGTCAGTGAATCCAGACTTTCACTGGATGGAGCAGCTTTTGGAATTTGCTGTGGCTCCCCATTATCTTCAATGATTATATCATCTTCATCACTGTCTTCTTCCTCAGGTTGGTAGCGTGGCACAATGTGTGGAGTGTAACTTGGAAGGCTGTTATCAGTAGACTGTCCTGAGCTACCAGAAGTCCGGCTGTTCCTAACAACATTGTTCCTCTGGTTTGCTGGTCTCACCGTAATTATCAGATTACGACTGTTGGCAATCATCATATCTGTAACTTGATCGAGGCTTTTTCCTGAAACTTCTATACCGTTCACTTCTAGGACTTCATCATTAACAGCCAGTAAACCTGTGCTTTGAGCCAGACCTCCAGGAACCAGCCTGGATATGAATATACCAGGAACTTTTTCTAGCCCATGAGGGGTTACTCTGACACTAGAGCCATCTCGTATATAAAATCCTAGAGGCTTCTCAGTTCCATATTTATAAAGCCGTACTCGGCGATGAGTTTCTGGAAGTATGTCCACATCAATAATAGAAGACACTGGCCTGAAGTCTTGTGGCAAGCTAATAACAATGTGTGGCTTTTTCCTATGGTTATCAGGACGCAGCACATTGGATAAGACGTTTTTCTTCCTTGTCATGGTATCTGTTCCAAAGGCACTATAGTCTGCATCTTCTACAAAAGTAAAGGAGAAGGAGAAAATAATGTATTAGTAATTCTTACAAGGCAAAACATATTCCAAAGAGCCTCTAAAACATCACTCATTAAAAGATTCTGTTTGAAGTTTTCAACATGATATAACACTTTTCTCCTCCTAATTTATTTTACAAGCTGGTCAACAGTAGCAGGAAATTTTATACATATACATACAGTAGCAGGAAATTTTATACATATACATACACACAAAACCTACTTCCTGGCTTTGACTGGGGTCCAACACCTTCATGGCATATATCACACAGTCTAACAAATCACACCTTTTCTGCTGCCCACAAAGATATACCCAGAATCACTCTACTGAAATCTCAACAACTTATAACCAAATAAAGTCATTATGGTTTCTTGCAAGAAGAAAGCAAGCAAGAAAAATTCAAAAACAAGAATAAAAGGTTACACTTTTTCCAAAAATTCAATGTATAACCACAAAAATATTGCTATCTTGCCCTATTTTATCATTACCCATACCATAGAGGAATAAAATCAGAATCATTTATTGGAACAGTTCAAATTTTACCAAAGAGATAAGATAAGATAACCTTTATTTTCATTTTTTTACTATGGGCACAAAGGCACACATCAAAAATGAAATTTAGTCGCCCGTTCTCAAGTGAAACACATACATGACACATCCCTAGACATACTATGAACAACATATGTATAGACCCACACCCCTACAAACAGTTGTAAGTGTTTGAATTTGCAAAAACTCAACAGTCAAAGAGGGTATAAACTAGGAAATTAATGGTACTGATTAACAATTAATCAGTGGAACGACTTGCCTCCAGAAGTTGTGAATGCTCCAACACTGGAAGTTTTAAAGAAGAGACTGGACAACCATTTGAAATTGTATAGGGCTTCCTGCCTGAGCAGGGGGTTGGAATAGAAGACTTCCAAAGTCCCTTCCATTATTCTGTATTCTGTAATGTTCCTGACATAAATGTGGCTAGATTGTCCCAGTTATACCAAATTACACTGTATTTAAGAATACCTTAAAAGTTGAAAGACCTTCGCGGTATATAAATATGGATTGATCAGGTAAACAGCAGTCATACAACAAATTGCCCCCAAACAAATGTTTTGGGAAATAACTTTTAAAGCAGTGGCCTCCAATCTTTGGGGCATCAGGGACTGGTTCCATAGAGAAAGCTTATTCTGTGGACTGGAATAAGTTTTGCCCATTACCGCATCCCGTAAATTCGCTTGTTTGCATGGATCGGTTGCTGGCATGCCACGGACCTGGGCTGGGGACCCCTGTTCTGAAGTCAAAATTATTCCTTTTTGTTATATACTTGGTTAGGAAAAATCCACCTTCATGGGTTAAAATATGGATTTGTGAGCACCTAGAAACGATTACTAAAACCCAACGAGTTTGTTAAAAACAGATCATAATAGAAAACTTATTGCCTTCTTTGACAAAGTGACTAAATTAGTGGATCAGAAAATTGTTGTGGACATAGTTTACTTAGACTTCAGTAAGGTATTTGACAAAGTAGACCATAGCCTATTTCTTGATAAGATAGAAAAATGTGGGATAGGCAGCATCACCACCAGATAGATTCATAACTGGTTGACCAACCGCACTCAACGTGTAGTCTTCAAAGGAACTACTGTACATCTACATTTTCATAAACAATCTTCATAAACAATTTAAATGAGAGGACAGAAGGGCAGTTCAGCAAATTTGCAAATGTCACCAAGCTGGAGGGAATAGCTAACAATTTAGAAATAGATTCAAGATACAAAAGGATCTTGACAGACATGAACACTGTGCTCTATCCAACAGAATACAATTCAGTGATTAGAAAAGTAAAAGGAACAAGAAAAACCAAATGCACAAATATAAAATAATGGTACCTGGTTCAACAGTGGTGACTGTGAGAGAGATTTAGGTGTCCTAGGGGACAATCACTTATACATAAGCCAGAAGTGTGCTGCAGCTGCCAAAAAAGCCAATGCAGTCTTAGGCTGCATCAGCAGAGGGATAGTATCAAAATCACGTGAAATGACAGTATTGCTGGTAAGACTGCACCTGCAACGCTGCATCCAGTTCTGGTCATAAGGGGTCTGGAGGTTAAACTGTATAATCATTGCTGCGGGGTCTAGTCTATTCCAGTATTTGAGGGGCTGTCACAGAGAAGCGGGAGTCAACCTACTCTCCAAACCGCCTGAGGGCAGCACAAGAAGTAACAGCTGGAAGATCATTAAAGTCAGATCCAACCAAGAATTAAAGAGAAATTTCCTGGCAGTGAGAACAATTATCAGTGGAACGACTTCAGAACCCTCCAGAAGTTGTGGGTGCTCCATCACTGAAGGTTTTTAAGAAGAGCCTGGACAACAATTTATCCAGAATGATAAAGGGTCTGCTGGTCAAAGAAGGGGTGGGAATAGAAGATCTCCAGGGTCTCCTCCAGCCCCATTATTCTATGTTCTATGAATTTCTAAAAATTCATTTTGCTTAAAGGTGATATTAGGTCCATTATAAATTTTGGATCTTTTTCTTTTTGTTCTGGGATTTTAGCATAGATATGTCTGCTAAAAAAGCAGAAACTCAAAGCATTCAAACAAATAATCAGTCATTCGAGGTAAGATATGTACTTGAGCATTCTTTATTCCAAATGTGCTTCTATGCTCCATTTTTTTTTACTTCTCAACTTTCAGTATTTGAGAATAAAAAGCATGAGGATGGGCAAAGTGCCAGGGGACCCACTGCTGCCAAGTATCTGGATAACAGCTAAATGACCTGGTTTTAATCTCCTGAAAACAAATACCATTCCACAAACTTTCTTCTCTGCCCTCTTCCAGAGTAAGTAAAATGACTGGCAACAGACTAAATAAGTAACATATTTAAACACTGGAAGATACTTTTAACAAGTGGCTGAACCACAAACCAATATTTCCAGCAACCTGCATACCAAGTAGAAAAATGCTCCTCAATTACTGCAAAATACTTCAGTTCAAAAAGAAGAAAATAAGTTTTGATGAAATACTTGTATTTCTACAGTCATATTTAATTTGTAAGTATTGCAAGTGAACCATTTTTTTAAATATTTGACATTTCAGAGCAATGCTGTTTGAAAATTAGAGCTGAGGTAACTGGTACATAATGGTACAGCATAACAGAGTCATCTGAAATATGCTAACCCTACCAGAATCTTGAAATCTACTTTGATAAGGGTATTCATACTTCCAGGAAAATTATCTACAGATGTCTAGAAGATGTTGCAAGACTCTAAAAGTTGCTTTATTCTAACATAAACATACTTGAGCTCATTTTCAATCAGGTTACACATTATCGTTTATGGTCTTTCACAACTTGCCACAGAAAAACAGTGTAATAAATTATTTCTATACTGGAAAACGGATTATAAATAATTCTAATGTTAGGGACTACATAATTTGACAAAAAAAATCTGCATATCCTACAAAAGCTGTCATAGGAATGTTCTCTGACGGTAAGAACTCTAAGCAAAACTCCATATTCTTGAGGAACTGTGATAACATCCGTGAGGTCTCACATATTCCTGTAAACTCAAAAACTAGAATGGATAGGAAAACTAGAGGAGAGTATTAGTGGTGCCAACAACCTGTTTTCCATGGAATCTAGTATGTTCTATTTTATCCCCTAGTGGAAGAATCCAGATAATATTTCAAGTTCCGAAACAGTTAGAAAATAATCCAAATCTGTTATTTGAGCAAGGAAAGAGTCCATTCACAGAAATGGGAGGGGGATCTTTTTAAAAAACAAACAAACAAACCCTGTATCAACATATCTTGATGGAAATATTTTTTTTTATTATGAAAGTGGATATAGAGCTGAGGAATTCTGGGAGTTGAAGTCCACACATCTAACTCTAATCCTATAACAAAGGGGAAAGTAGGAGAGAATGCAAAAACTACAATCTGCTTAAATTAGTTAAGTCTCCCTGGGAAAGTAGTTTGGTAGAATTTTGACTGGTTTCCTTATTTGGATCTTACATAGTATGACATTTTTTCTGTTCTTATTTTCTGATTTTTATCAATGCCCACCATCCAGAGTCACAAATTGTGAGAACAGCATCTTTAGAAATCCTTTAAATAAATGGAATGCAAATGAAAAATGGGAGCATGTAGTATGGCTTTATATTAGGCAGGTATTCCAGACAAAAAATTGCAAATTTTCACATATTTTAGAAATATATAAATGTCACTTATTAGTGACTAGAAACCTCATATGGACTTTTTGCTGAAAAATGAACTTGTGATTTATGGATTTTAAGATTAGAAAGGGTAGCTTATGGAAAGAAGGAAATTATGATGTAATCTTAGAGAAAAATATAAATCCGTAACTGCTATCAGGAAGATCGAAAGATCGAAATTTCTTTGGAATTGTTCCTTTTTTCCCCATTTCTATTTCTTTTTCTACATTTCTTGTTCATTTTCTTATTAATTTTCTTTATACTTCTTTAATTCAAAATTTATACTTTTTAATTGTTGAAAAATCTCAATAAAAATTAATTAAAAATACAAAGAAGTATGTAAATGTAATTAAAGCTGCGGTACGTTTGTAGGTTTGGGTAATGCTCAATACTTTGCATGAATATGGAGTTAAAGGCTAGTTGCTAAATACCTCAAGAACATTTCATAATGGGAGTAAAATATAAGTACAACAAATGGAATGCTTGGGGGATAGTTTAACTTTAAGCAGAGAATAAGACAAAGATGTGTGATGTTCCTTGAATGGTTGATATGTTTATAAGAAATATTGATGGTGACTTTAGAGGCGAGTTGGTTAGGGTTATGAATATATGTTTAGGTTTACATACATATGATCCCATGTTGTTGGCTGAGAAACCAAATGATTTGGAGCAAATCCGACACATCGTACAATGTAACAAGAACTACAGAACTGAAAATTAATGTTCAAGGATCAAGGAAAAATACTATGAATAACTAAAAGTGAGAAATACCTAAAAAGT